TCTGTTGCAGAGATGTTGGGAGCACCCCCACCCTACAAACCTGATGTCAAAGAGCAGAAAGCCCTGGAAAACTCAATGGCAAAGTGGACTGGGCGTTCTGGCCTGCCTGCAAGGACCATTGAGGATAAAGACTTTGTGGATATGATGAAACAAGCCGACTAAAGGTTTAATGTGTACAGTGTGATATATATGGTAAAAAGAGAATCAGTGTGTGGAGAAGCTCTATTCTGCACAGTGTTATATAAATAAAATAGAGAAAAAGAGAATCAGTGTGTGAAGTTCTATTCTGCACAGTGTTATATAAATAAAATAGAGAAAAAGAGAAGATGCGTGTGAATAATTTTTATTCTGTACAGTGTGAAAAAAGCATTGTGTGGAGAAATTCTATTATTTACAGTGTTAACTAAAATGACAAAAATGACTAAAATTGGACTAAGACTAAAATTGAGTTTTGTCATTGTGTCTAAGAATAAGACTAAATTAAAAAAAAAAGCTGCCAAAATTAACATTGCTCAATACCCATTCTTTCTGACTGATGTTTTTGTCACTTTTGAATGTTGGTGGTGCCACACTCGTGGTAGTATGAGACAGACTCTATAACCCACACAGGTTGCTGAGGTAGTACAGTTCATCAAGGATGGAACATCACTGCGAGCTGTGGCAAGAAGGTTGCATGTGTCTGTCAGTGTAGTGTCTAGAGACTGAGGTGCTAACAGAAGACAGGTCATTACACCAGGTGACATGGAGGAGGCCGCAGGAGAGCAACAACCCACCAGCTGGCCACTACCTTCGCCTTTGTCTAAGGAGGAACAGAAGGAGCACTGCCAGAGCCTTGCAAAATGACATCCAACAGGCCACAAATGTGAATGTGAGGGCAGAAAATGTTAGAAACTGACTCCAGAGGATGGTGTGAGGGCCTGACGTCCACTGATTGGGGTTGTGCTCACACCCCAAAACCCTGCAGGATGTTTGGCATTTACCAGAGAACACCAGGATTGGCAAAATCATCACTGGTGCCCTGTGCTCTTCAAAGATGAAAGCAGGTTTACACTGAGCACATGTGACAGGGTCTGGAGACACAGTGGAGAGCGCTCTGCTTCCTGCAGCATCCTTCAGCATGACCAGTGTTGCAGTAGGTAAGTCATGGTGTGGACTGGCATTTCTTTGGAGGGCCACTCAGTTCTCCATAGGCTCGCCGGAGGTAGCATGACTGCCATCATGTACCAAGTTGAGATGCCTTTTGAGCCCATATGCTTGAGGTTGGACCATGGTTCCTTCTAATGAAGGACAATGCTAGGCATCATGTCACTTGAGTGTGTTAACAATTCCTGTAAGATGAACGCACTGAAGCTATGGACTGGCCTGCCCATTCTCCAGACCTGAATCCGATTGAGCACTCCTGGGACATCATATGTCGACCCATCCACCAATGTCACATTGCACAGACTGTCCAGGAGTTGGTGAATTCTTTAGACCAGGTCTGGGAGGAGATCCTCAGAAGACAATCTGCCACCTCATCATGAGCATACCCAGGCATGGTAGGGAGGTCATACAGGCACGTGGAGGCCACACACAATACTGAGCCTCATTTTCACCTGTTTTGAAGACATTACATTGTTAGGATAATTGGATCAGCCTGTATTGTGTTTTGCAACTTTCATTTGTGTGTGACTTCAAATCCAGGATTCCAATCGGTAATACAATTGATTACCGATTGACATTTTATTGTTAGAACACATTCAACTTCATACAGAACAAAGTATTCAGTTAGAATATTTCATTAATTCAGATCTAGGATGTGTTATTTGAAATTTCCCTTCATACTACTTTATTCGAGTAGTGGATTTCCAGATAAACATAAGACCAGAGGTGACGCTAGGCATTTGTGTGCCGTAAAGCAAAAATTCTGTTTGTCATGCCCTCCAACTGGAAATGACTGATATAGCATTTGTATTTGTTTCTTTCTTGTTATTTCCAAAATACCCTCTGAACTTTATACTGAATTTCTGGAAAAATGTAGCAATAAATAAGAGGAGAAATAAAAATTTTGAAAAAAAAATCTAACTAAATTTCCACACATGGTAACTGTTTTACCTGTCATGGAGAAAAATGAATAAAGACAACTGATTTTAGGATGGATTAAAATAAGGAAATAAAATGCAACTAGAAAAAGCTGTTTCAAAGAAAAAGCGAGTGGGAATGCTTCTTTCTGCTGAATTAAATTAGAAAAAAAAATGCTAAAGAAACTGAATAAAGGAAAAAAAATAAGCTGAAGAGTATGTGAAAATGTGATAGTAAGTAATCAGAAACTTCAAACTGCAAATAACAGTTGAATCATCTGAAGATTTTTTAGCGTAGAATCATTTGGCAGAATAATGGCAGAAACACAATCATCTTAAAAGTAGAACATTTTGTGAAATTTGATGAACCAGAACCAGAAGAAAAATTCCAAAAGCATCTATTTACCTGGCAGTCGACAGAAGTTCAGCTAAAGATGTTCTTAAAAAGACAAAGTCCTTTGTAAAAGAAAAGAGCAAAATCAGCAAAATGTAGTAAAAGAGTAAAAGATACAGAAACATTTTTATATCACAAGAATCAGCAGTTGTTGATGAACAACAGTGCCAAGTTTCATGTTTCCTCAAAAAAGAACATGGTGATGATGATGTAAAAAGGAGAATTTTGAAAGATTTTGTTTTGAAAATTTATTGTTTTGAGGCCCCTCAAATCTCTTGGATCTCTAAAACATTCCTTCAATATGAGCATTAGAGATGAAGATAATCTGTGCTAGCTGTTTAGCTGAGCTGTTTGGTCATAGGAAAACGCTGATTTTGGAAAAAAAAAAGTCTCAGACTGAAATCTTTCAAAACAAACCATATTTTTACATTGTGAACATGGTGAAATTGTTTTTGGTAGAAATATGAAAGTTGGCATATTTGGGAATGCTTAATGCCTTCCCACTATATAAGAAAATAGGCACATCACATTGCATAGTCATTATCAAGTCAATGTACACTATAAATCATGTAATATGAGATATTATACAAATCTATCACAACAAAATTATTGTGTTAATAGAGCACAATAATATATATCTGCCAAAAGTGCTAAATTGATTATGTACATTTAATATACATGTATTTATTACATTGTTATGGTAATTACATCTTACATGTCTGATAATGCATGCTATATATATATATATATATATATATATATATCAATGAACATGAATTCAACACACTGTTGTAAACAGAGAAACGGAGAAAGAAGATGTCTTTCAGTCATCACTTCACACGTTGGTGGTCACAGTTTCATTCACAACACCTGTCCCATCAACGAGGAATCAGAATCAGAATCAGAAATACTTTAATAATCTCAGGATGCAATTACTTTTGTTACATTGCTCCATCTGTAATAGAGTGACTATTATACCAGTTTGATATAACACAACTTCATACAATATATGTAATTAGGGGGCCCTCGTTCCATCTTGCCATCAGTTTGGTGTTCCTTGGCCTGGGAAACGTTGAAGACCCCTGGGTTACCACATCCACTGACACTGAAATTACCTGTGAAACCACTTCCCACTCTCGCAAACTGCTTGTTTTTGCAGCCAAATTCTACAAATGTAGGCATTTTTACTGCGCGTCTCCGTGGGAGTGGGGAGTACCAGCATGGCGGATGGTGGCTTTTCTTCTTTGAGCAATCAGAAATCTACTGAATAAATAGAGATCAGTGGGTCCAAAACTACGGGTTTGGAAGGCTGATGATTTACTAAATATTGAACAATCGTTCCAGCCACTGAATAAAGTAAACATGCCCACTGTTATGTTGAATATATGCACAGGAATAACTTTATATCAGGAAATGAGCACAGCACTAACATCTGCTGGAATGATGATGCCATCGGCCGTGATTGAAAGTAATTCTATCTTAAAAACCAGATCAGCACAAATGTCATTTTTACCTAAACACAGATAAAGTAGCACTGAAAAAGTGGGCTAAATAGTTTTAATTCAATTTTTCTGAAAAGCTTAAAGGGGGATAGTTAACCTCTGGTTGACCTGAAAAAACAATATTTAATATCTCTTAAACAACAGCAGCACATATGATCTTTATTTTTATTTTTTATACATTTTTACAACTGACCATTTTAAGTAAACAAACCTGCACTAAAGAAGCAATAACGTTTCAGTCTATTTTTTTTTCTTCACATCATTGGGGAGTCAGCTTCACGTCGCTGAAGCTCCTCCTATTTAATGAAGCAGTCGAGAGTGTAAACACTGTGCACCTGAAATGCAGGGCGGTGAACTACCTTGGGGGCTCATTTAAATCAATGCATTCACCGCCTCCTGTGTGAAAACGTCATAAGAGTTTCTACAATATTTAATTTTCCATTGAGATTAATCAAATATTTTTGAATTGAAATAAGAGTCTAAAGTCAGCTTTTTCCTTAATGTTCTTTCTTGAGTGCCACCATTTAAACAGTCGTATCATTTTAGATTCTTTTTTGATTTCTACAAGTTTGACATCATTGGAATTCTTAGATATCACTTTTTCAGGATAATTTAATAACCCAAAAGGGCCCCAGCTGGACGTGTTCATGGATTTGTCATAGCCTTTCACGTTTGAAGAGGCAGTCTAATCCTTATCCCTATCCACTAAATGTTTACACTTACTTTTATCCGTTAAAACAACTGTTGGTTGGTAAAACACTTCAGCTGTACTGAACCCCACCCCCAACAACCACTGGGAAAAGTAGAGAAATACTTTGTCTGTAGTTGGACCAAAGTAAAGAAGGTGAAATTACCCAGGTAAATGAGTATGAAAGTATTACCCGAACCTTAAAAAAAACCTAGGCTGGGGCTGTGGCTTTTGAGTAGCAATGGAAAAGCGGCTTTTGTCTAGCTTCTCATGAATGTGCTCTTCCTAGTGTATATAGTTCTTAGATAAGACTAATGAGGAATATGTGTGTTTGTGTATTTGCATGTGCCATGAAGCTCTTTGGTTTAGCTGCAGCAGCACAGGTGAAAACAAGCAGAGAGACCAAGGGCCAAACTTTGTCAATCCATTTGTCGTGGGCTGTTGGGGTGATGTCTGCCACATTCCTTACAAAGGGGATTTCAGGTAAACATTCCTGGTAAACTATAATAATTATCTAAATGTTGTCTGGGGCTAATACATTAACTAGTAATATCCAAAAAGTATTTGTCACAGAATAATTCTTTCTTTCTCCTTAGGTGCCCACCTAAACCCTGCTGTGTCTCTGTGTTTCTGTATATTGGGGAGGCTGCAATGGGGTTACCTGGTGCCCTACTTTCTCTCCCAGGTTGTTGGGGCCTATGTGGGAGCGGCTCTGGTCTATGCACTATACTATGGTTTGTCATTCTAATATTAACAAAGGAAAAAAATCAAGGGAATGCCAAAATAACCAGTTCTATAAAGGCAGAACAATAAGAAAATAACACTCTGCATCAGTTTAAAATATTTTTCTAGGTAAAGGAATAAATTGTATTTTCTCAATTGTAAAAAGGATTCAACCTTTTGAAAACTCACTAACTATCTTTGAAGTAAAAACGTTTTTTGCAGAAAAAAGCTGTTTGAAAGTCATATCTCTTGATACAGGGAAAGGACACGTGTCAAAATACTCACATACATGTTTACTACCTTAAAAAGTAGTATTTTAAATAGACCTCAGATAATACAAAATTAGATTTAAGCAAAATAGGGATAATCTGATTTTGTATAGTTCCGGACTTTTTTCCATTTCAATAGTCCCAGTTTTCAAGACTTGATTTTAAAATTTCCTTTTTTTCTACTATGTCTGAAGATCAATGGATCTATCCATTTTCTATACCTGCTTGTCCATCAGGTTGAAGGAGGGTTGTATCTATCTCCAGTAGTCTGGGGAAAGGTGGAGTATACCCTGGAAAGGTAATCAGTTCATCTCAGGGCAACATGCTGAACAAAAAAACACACATAATTTAGAGAGACCTGTCAATCTAAGAGTCCTGTTTTGAACTGAAGGAGGAAGATAATCCATGCATGCATGGGGAGAACATGCAAACTCCCTGCAGAAAGATATAAGGCATGGGTTCAAACCCAGGACCGTCTTGCTGCAAAGCAACATCTACTATGAAATTTGACCAAAATATCTGATCAGTGGTTTTGCAGTTAAGTCAAAAGATTTAACACATTGTTGTGTTAAATCCTCTTTAAACATCAATTCCTTTTTAAACATCAG